CATAAAACCTTGAACCTTTGTGTGCCTTCAGGCTTTGCAAAATTACCTGGATATGTGTGTGTGTGATTTTTAGGGGGAAAAGGGTTCAGACAGTTCTTGTAAATCCCACTGGTCTTCTTAAAGCTTGTGACTTGTGAATATTGCCTCTGGGTCAGCCTCAGAAGGGCTTATCTTAAGACCTTTTCATAAACACTTTTTTCATGCTGGAAGTACACAATACTGCTGTACTCCGGTTATGTCGGTTTTAAATAGAAAATAGCCATTAAGCAGCTGTTTATTGTCCTGTTTCTTCACAAGGAGATGCATGGAGCTGATCCCTGTGTGCATGTATGTGTGTGTATTAGAAAAGCAGAACTTTCTTTACTGGTAATGCCCAATCTTGCCAAACCTTTTGCTTAGTGCACTAAATGAAAAATTTAGTGTTCTAAGCAAATTTTATTGATTTTAAAAGACACAACCTTACATATTGTATTTTCTGGCGTTTAAGACTACTTTTTAACCCAAAAAAGTCTTCTCAAAAGTCAGGGGTCATCTTATATGTGGGAGTCATCTTATATGCAGGAGTAGCCTTATACGTGGGAGTAGTCTTATACACTGGGAGTAGTCTTATACGCGGGAGTCATCTTATAGAGTGGGTGCTGAAACTTCCAATCTGGATTGGAGAATCTGTGGTTGCTGCATATGGTGGGGGGAGCTCAAAAATGACAGTGGCCGTGTCCCTGCCGTATGCAGCGACTGTATGAAAGCATTAAGGGCAATGCTGTACAAGTACAATAGAAGAAAATCCATTCATCAGGATTTGTGGATTTAATGCAGTCCCGATGGTGAGGTGAAGGGGTGCCTCACCGGGAAGTTGTAAGTGAAGGACGGAGCAAGCTGCAGGCATCCGGGGGGGCTGGGATGTAGCTCTGGGTCCAGAAAACACATAGAGTGGCTCTGGGCCCAGAAAGACATACCTCTTTTACCTGTCTGGCCTGCCCTTGTGTCCTATTACCGTACCTCCTCCTCTGCCTCTCAGATCTCACTCCTGAAGACTGCAGTGAAGCTGTGCAGGTGCACATGTGTGAGATCTGAGAGGTAGAGAAGGAGGTACACTAATAGGAAAATTACCATATTGAAATCAAATCTGATGCTTTTTAAATTTTTATTTGCTGTGTGTTGGAAGAGGGGTAGTCTTATACGGTGAGTATATCCCAAACTCTATATTTTAACTGGAAAAGTTGGGGGTCATCTTATACGCCCAGTCGTCTTATATGCTGGAAAATACAGTACTTTGCAGACAAAATTGCTCAGATGTACTTTAGCTTGAATGCTATGGTTGATACAGGCCCGCTGAATGTAACTTTGGTTCTTGCTTGTCCTGTGTTATTGAATTGTTTCAATTTCTACAGCTTGAAGATGTGGATTTAGAATGACCAGATGTGGGTGAGCCAAGTTGATAAAGGGAGCAGTAAATGCCTCAACACAGCGGGATCAGGTTCCGTTACGTATAAAAAGGCTGTGGGGAGGACTTTACTGAAGAAAAACCCCACCTTCCCTGAAAATACCATACTTACTTATTACTGGCCAGTGTACAGCAACCTTTTGAGCAAATTTCTGATACACATTGTGGTTTTCCAGCTGTAGGTGCTTTTTTTGTTTAATAAGATGGGTTATTTAGATCAGGCATTGGCAAACTTTGGCCCTCCGGGTGTTTTGGTCTTCAACTCCCAGAAATTCCAGCCAGTTTACTGGTGTTAGGAATTGTGAGAGTTGAACTAGAAAACATCTGGAGGGCCAAAGTTTTTCCCTGCCTGATTTAGCTCCATTCCAGACTGGCTTCAGATCTGGATATGGGATAGTTAGTTGGCCTGTACCAGGAGCTGGATGGCAAAGGAGGTGTCTGTCTTCCTTTTGGTTCTCCTTGACCTGCAAATGGCTATTGATGCCATTAATGGTAACCTTCTGTGCTGCCTCTTTCTTTTCAGACTTTGCACCATTGTTTTTCAGTAGTCCCAGTCTTTCTTTGAGGAGTGAATTGAGAAAAACTTCCAAGAATTAAGAACAAAGGAAGCTGTTCATTTTTCTGTTGTCAATAATAGAATGAAAGGGGATGAAGAAATTGCAGAAAGGGCAAAGGTGTCCTGGTCAATTGAAAGATTCAGCCCATGGTCAGCTGAGTGATTGCTTCTCCTGAAATTTCATGCTTGTAGCTCAAGTATACTCCTGAACCCAGCCTAAGCATGGATGCCCAATTTTCTGATGTGGCTAAGAGTGCCTTGGCACAGTGAAAATGAGTTACATATGTGTCTGGAGATGTTTGATCTTGCTCAAGTGACACCTACCTTGATTATGTACAGTTTAGATTATTGCAATACACTGTACACCGGTCTGTCTTGGAGCCCCCAAACAACTGTGACAAGGCAGTGAACTGAGACTAGTTGCAGAGAACATGCAGCTGTCCTGTTACAGTAGCTTCACTGGCTTATTTCCAAGTACAGTTAAGTGTTCTTGTTATGACCTATAAAGTTTTATATTCATTGGGTCTGGACTATCTGAAGTTCTGGTATCCTTAGAGAGAGCTATTGGGCAGAAGGGTGCCTGATGAGGACATGCGAGAAGCCTCTTTAGTGGTCTGCTCTCAGGATGTGGAGCCCTCTCCCATGGGACACTGGGTTGGCTCTCCTTCTGTCCGTCTCCTTTCCTTCTCCTGGCAGACACAAACCAATTTAAACAGGCTATTGACAATCAGCTCAATATTACAGAGAGGACATTTGATAGGGAGTGTTGCTCTTAGGGTTTTAAACTGATTTATGTTAATTCTGTTTTATTAGAATAGTATATTTTGTTTAAAGTGTTATTATAACCCATTTTAAGACTATTCTATAGTTTGACCTGTCTTGGGTCTAACATTGGAAGAAAAATGAGTTCTAAATGAATTGAAATGTATACTCTTTGTGCTGTTCTATGACCGAAATAATTATTTATTTGATGCATATTCTAGCCAAACAAATTGTTTATTCAGTCATTTGAGTTGCATACTTATGGTTTTAGTTGTCACTACATTTTGATCAGTACTTCTTGTCTCACACAGTTTTTAGATGTTTTTTGTCAGTCTTCAAGGCCATGTTATTAATCATGCATGATATCAGTTTACTAGAGCTAACTGTAGTTTGAATCAACCTTTTAGACAAGATTGTAAGCCATGGTTTGATTGGATTTATTAAACCACTTCTCATGCAGTTCAAATGGGTTAACCCTTTTGTTGGTAGGACTGCTAACAGAAAGGTCAGCGGTTTGAGTCCAGGGAGCGGGATGAGCTCCCACTTGTCAGCTCCAGCTTCTCATACAGGGACATTAGAGAAGCTTCTCACAGGATTATAAAACATCTAGGCATCCCCTGGACATCATCCTTGCAGATGGCCAATTATCTCACACCAGAAGCAACTTGCAGTGTCTCAAGTCGCTCCTGACATGAAAATAAAGGAAATCTATGAAAGAGAAGAGAAGGGAAAGGAAAGTGAACACTAGCAATCCCACCTTTCGTCTTGAAATACAACCATCCAAATGTGACAACCATCAACACGCGCCAAAATAGCCCTGAGGGCAGTATTTTTCCGTAAATACACCAATGCGTGAAGAAAGATTGCTTCAATGCACCTTGTATTTATTTAATCAGGTTCAACTGAGTATATTCCAGATCTTGAATTCACAAATTCTAATAGTGTTTATATGTAAAGCAGCCCTAGGAGAATTTGTGTTTCCAAATAATCATTTTTACCTGTAATTGTCTCATTTTGCTACAAGAACATTTGTCAGCTTCTAACAGGACTCAAACTGGGAGATGATTAGAATATAAACAGTCGCAGTGTGTTAATGTGGCAAATTCCCTGAAGAGATGTTTGCTTTATTACAGATTTTTAAATCCCACTATTAAACAGTTGTTGCTAGAGCTATTATTTCTGGAGTTTACATGATAAGGGGTTGTTTTATTTACCTTTTTATTAATAAGAATAGCTTCATTTACAATATAATAGAACTGAAGCTTTGTTATCCTGGGCTATAGTCAGTGACAAGCCATTTTTACCATCAGTTTTGCGATTTTCCACGAGGGAGCTATATGATGGCCTTGTAAAATGGAGCACCATTACTATAATCCCTGAATTAATTACATTTTTTTTTTTAGATTTCTCCCACTGGAAATATCACATCAAGATGACTTGAATTTATTTCCTTATGCTTTAGTTCTATGTGCCTGCATGTGTGTAGAGTTTCCTGTACAGATTGTCTACATATACTTTAAACTTCACCTCCCTGATCAAAGAACATAGAAAGTGGAGCTAATGGGAATTGCAAATCAGTGATGGATCAAGTATAACCAATGGGCTTCACATGGCCCTTTGGACCCCTAAGTGTGATCCCCGAAGCCTCCTAAAGCCCCCATACTTGTTTTAAAAAACCCTCCCAAAATACATATGCCTAAAACACAATGCTTTTGTTCCCTTGACCAACCAAAGGTCCTAAAGCTCCCCCTTCCTCTGTTTTAGTTTTAAGGTTGGAATAGGTAGGAGATGGAGCTGGAGCAGGCCATGGTCTCTCATTACTCATATGACTGGCTACAAATATCTCCATGGTTATCACAGCTAGGTTTGCCCTTATGGTCTTCTCCTCAGTGATGGTAGTGCACCAGATCCTCTCAAGTGAAAAATGGCTTCAGACATTTCTGTGCCTTTAAAAAAAATGCAAAGGACATAGTGGTAGCCAGGGTGGGAATTGTTTGGGGTCATATCTCTGCAACAAGATGGCGGTCAAGAATTATTCCACCCATGGCATGAGTAGGAAAGAGGCGTGTTCCCACGGATTCTCTTGAGCCATTCCTACTCCCAGGCATTTGTATTATTGCTGCTGATGAACTGTTTTCCTGAATAGTACTGTACCGTCGGTATTTTGCCTTCTTTGTTGGCTTATTTAACATATTTTTCTTCTTTTCTTCCCCTCTTTCCTTTTTTTGTCTTGCGTAGTTCAACAGTTGAAAAATATGGGAGACGACAGGCCATTTGTGTGCAATGCCCCAGGCTGCGGACAGGTAAGTTTACAGTATACTTTATTGCGAGTGTGTCGTTGTGAATCAAAGTGGCTGTTTTATCACTAAGGGAAAGAGTTTAAAGCCAGTATTTTACGTGATCACTGGAGGTAATCAGATCAGGGGATTTGCAGTGTGTAAATCCAAGTTACGAGCAAGTTCAAAGGCTCCAAAGTAATGAAATTCACCTGGCTTTGTGCTGTAGTGGTGTTCTGTGGCGTTCTCCCTGTCACAGCCATGGAATTCAGAGGAATAAGGTCCTATACTGATCTCTCATAAATATTATTTGACAGTATAACTGGGTTTCTTTTTCCTTGAGACTTATTTAACCTGAGAAGATCCCTCACATATGTTAGCTGCTCTACCATATTTTTGAAAATAGTCCTGAGATTATTTTACTGTTATCTATTTATTAAATGTGTGTATGTTTCCATAGGTGGATAACCTTGAGCAGTGTACAGTAAAATGCCATAATGTAAACAATAAAGCAAAGAACACAGGCAGAAAAGAAAAACAACTACTTCTGGTATAGAATCCTAGATTCATTCAAAGGAGATGCTCCTTGTGTAAGCTACTAAACTTCAGGGATTTGTTTGGAGATTCAGGGATAGCCCTTAGCACTCTTTTTAGGTCACTTATTTAGCTCACACGCTAGGGACATTTTATCTTTTTTTTAGATTTAGTTTGAACTACCTATATGATGCCTGTTGAAACAATTGTATTTTAAAAATGTATTTCCTGCACTGCAGGGTGTTGGACTAAATGGCCCCCGTGGTCTCTTCCAACTTAATGTTCCGTTAGTCTATGAGTCACCATTCAATGACTGATTCAACAAGTCTCTCTAGTTGGGACCAGTGGAATTCAGGCCTAAGTACTCTGGGTTCATGGTTCATTGGGTCTGTTTTGCTCCAATGTGTGCTTGCAAGCAAAGGTCAAAGGAGTAGTTTCTTCATGTTTAGATGATCTGCCAGGAAGTGATTCTTTTACATGAGTGTTCTTATTTCTAGGGTATGTAAATTCCTAAAATTATTATTTATTTATTTGCAGTATTTGTATACCGCTTTTCTCACCCCGAAGGGGACTCAAAGCAGTTTCCACATAGGTAATGGCAAAATTCAATGCCAGCACAAAGAGTAAACTCCTGAAGTTCACACGTTTAGCAACTCTTACACTGGTGTAGAAGTTCATATGAGAAGTAAGCCCCCTTAAGATAAGCAAGGGTTACTTTTGGACTTCTGTTTTAGTAGCTAAGTTGAGATTAGTGGCTTTTTTTTTACTGTACACTAGGATACAGTAAGTTCTGTGTTCTGCCATTTGCTTATCCATAGAAAGTAAATGATATAATGACAGTAGATTTGCCATGGTACATTGATCTATTGCAGACAAAAGCAATGGGAAGAAAATGGAATCATGCAATGGCTTGGTTGTATCCAATCTGAAATATATTTATTTTCTCTCTCTCTTTTTAAAAGCCCTGTCCAGTTAAACGTTTTGCTAAGATACTATTGTACTCTAGTGACAGAAGAAAGAGGACTATGATGTGGGTGCATTGTCCAGCAGCCTGCATTCACACTGTGAAATGGCAATGCTGGTTTAGCGCTCTACGTGGGGCTGCCCTTGAAGACTGCCCGGAAGCTTCAGATGGTCCAGCGCTCGGCAGCCAGGTTGTTAACAGGAGCGGCACTCAGGGAGCACACCACTCCTCTGTTGAGCCAGCTCCACTGGCTGCTAATATGCTACCGGGCACAATTCAAGGTGCTGGCGTTAGCCTACAAAGCCCTAAACGGTTCCGGCCCCACTTACCTCTCCGAATGCATCTCCACCTATGAACCGACGCGGACACTAAGATCGTCCGGGGAGGCCCTGCTCTTGGTCCCGCCGGCGTCACAGGCACGGTTGGCGGGGACGAGGGACAGGGCCTTCTCGGTGGTGGCCCCTCGGCTATGGAATGCCCTATCTGTAGACATCAGACAGGCCCCTTCGCTGCTGGCGTTTCGGAAGAAGGTTAAGACTTGGCTCTACGAGCAAGCGTTTGGCTAAACGGTGAAACTGAACACAGGAAGACGGTAAAATTGAACATAGGAATGGCACAAGGATTTTGAGAATGGATTTGCTCTGTTATCGAGGCGTTATGAATTGATAATAATTGTTGATTTTGTTGTTGTATTTGATGTGTTTTAACTGTTTATTGTTGTGATAACCTGCATTGTGTAAACCGCATTGAGTCGCCTAATTTAGGCTGAAAAATGTGGTATGGAAATAAAGCAAATAAATAAATAAATAAATTAGTTGTCACATTTTTTTCATGTGAGGGTGTCATCCCTTCTGGTGAAATGACACTGAACTAGACAGTCTGTTACTGGGTGACAATAGTTTCTTATCCAGTGGCGAGTGCACATGAGAAACTAGTGAGAGTAAACTGTACTGCTAATGGAACAGTAAGTTTTGTACCACCTTAAAGACAAAAGAAGTATGTCATACTGTGGACAAACTTTTGTGGCACAGTCAACTGTTTTTTAATGTATAAAGAATGAATGGTTAAGGTGTCATAAGACTATTCATTGTGTTTTTTGCAATAGACTAATAAGGCTGTCTCCATTGCACAATAGACAGTTAAGCCTCAAGGTGACCTGAACAATTGTACAACTTTGCAGGAAATCAAGGCTGCTTTCTATGGCAGGTGTGTCTGTTGAAAGTTTGTTCCAGCATATCTGTAGAATGTGTTTTCATAGTGGATGTAAATACATAGTCAGAATAGTCAGAACAGTTTTTTTGTGTCCAGAACATCAAATTATCAATATGCCATTAAGTTGTGTCCAGTGGAGGCTCCACTACAAAATTTTCATAGTGGAGATACCTATATGTAAATACATAGAATCATAAAGTTGGAAGAGACTACGGGGGCCATCCCTTCCAACCCCCCACCAAGAAGCAGGATAATCACATTCAGAGCACCCCCGACAGATGGCCATTAAACCTCTATTTAAAAGCCTCCAAAGAAGGAGCCTCCACCATACTGGACAGTGTTTTGTGGCCAGGACATCAAATTATCAATATGCCGGGAAGATGTGTCAAGTGGGGGCTCACCACCATATATCTACCACATGTTCCTCCTGTATTTCTGAATGTGGTTGTTTATTTTAAATACTACAATGTTCATAGCATGATGAGCACCTTGAAAATGTATCTGCTTTAAAATGGAGCATTTAGCCAACTAAATGGAGCATTTAGCCAACTTCAAAGTACTGAGTTCCAAGATGGAACTTCTCTGTCTGCAGTTACAGGAGGGAAGAAAATATCCACACTACTGCAGTTCATGTCTACTCTTGTATCTCCTTTGGCTGGAAACGAATTTGTCATTTTCTAAAGTACACTGTAGTGAGGAGAAGGCTCAAGACCATCTATCCTGTTTCAGAGGTGGAAGTAAGTTAATTATATCTGTCAATGTTAGTATGCTATTGCATATTGCACTGACCTTATATGGGGAAGTACAGGCAATCTTCTGAAGTCGTTTTGGGAATTAATGAAATAAGTTGAACATAGAAGAACACCTGAGTCCCAAGAGTGCCCTCTTATTTGTCCCTGTATTAGTTTTAAAGGAAGTAAAAAGAATAAATTAAACAGGTTTGAAAATGTGGCCGCACTCTATTTATTCACTTACTCTAGAAAAGTTGAAATAGTGTGACTGTCTATTCAGTATTTCAGTCTTTGAGGTCTACAAGCATATATTTGTGTCATTGGCTGATTGTTTAATTCCTAATTCTTCCGTTATTACTATTTTCTGAAAGCTGATTAGAAGGAGGATGGCCTAAAATTGATTGCTATCCTCTCTACTTTACTGTTCAAACCTCTGGGCTTTTAATGGGCCTGTAAACATGTTTTTGGTTGCTAGGTCTTTAATGGCTGTTATTTTTGGATTCCCTGCACGATCACTTCCCAGCAGTAAGCTTGGTGTGACACAGCTGAGATCTAAATGTACTGCATATACTTCTTTTAAAACGATTCTACTGAAGGTCGTTTATCTCGTTTCTTTTCTAAGAGGACAGGTGACAAGTCTTTACATTCCTCTCCACATTCTCTCCTCCTGCCCCTGCCCTCTGCTCTAAAGTAGTTTCTCAACAAAAATGTGTCTCTTAAGGGAATTGGGGGCAGTAGGATCCAAGACTTCCAATGTCTGGGACTATATACAATCTGGAGTCACATTCATGGGGTTGGCTCTCTTTATTTCAAATGAAGTATGCAAAAGTCTGTTTGCTATTTCAGCTTTGTAACATTTTGGTTTGTGCGCCTTGAAAATCCGTGAGAGTTAATATATACGAGTATCATACAATCTGATGCTAGAAAAAAAAGTCAATTCACAACGGGTGATCTTTTTTCCATTAAAAATCCAAATAGGTGTCCAATTACATTAATGTGACCCCTCCATTCAAAAAATGCTTGCAGCTAGAGAAAACATTTATAAAACATGCTGGAAGATACAGGCTACCATCTTACTTTCAACCAGAGTTTAAATATCAGATGTTTTAATAACTTAGTGGATAAGGTTGTTCATACAAGTTAAGTAAATAGTAGAATATAAAGTCTACTTCTAGATAGAGTATTAACCATTTTGTCTGCTAAAAATGGGGTCATGGTGGAAGGTGGCACTGGTGAAAACTGCACTTTATGTTTAGCAGACATCCTCTTTCTATTTCATTCTGACTATTAGAGGCCACAAAGTATTTGCTGGGTTTACAGTCTTAGTCTAGTCTTTCTATAGACAGTTCCAGGGCAGTATAGGCAATTGCGATCCCCACTTTTGATACTCACAATTTTCCTATGTGTTAATGTATGTCCAATGCCCCAAGGTTGCTGAAGAGTTTATTAGAGATTATTCTGTTTCTCCTTTGTTCAAATCCAAAAGTGAATCTTTACACCACCTGGCCTACTATATATAGCAACCTCGGCATTCTTGAATCAGATCAAGAAAAAAAAAATACAAAGAGCAAGAGTGTTGGCCTTCA